CGGGAGAGCTCCCGTACGATTGACTCCCCTAATCATTCGTTGATTACGAACGACGGAGATCGGATGCTGTGGAAAGATCAAATTGACTTTTTCATTTTCGAAAAGTTATGATGTAATTTTTCTCAAAATCATCGTCGTCATCATCATTATTATTATTATCATAACTACTATTATTATTATTATTATATATTAATTATTAATTATTAATTATTTATATTTTTTTTTTTTTTGTCTCGTCACGCGTTCGGGAAAAGAAAACTTTTTTTAAAAAACTTTTGTCGTTTAAATTTTTTTTTTTTTTTCGAGATATCGAAACGAACGAGAACGAGAACGAGATGTTGTTGTCTTGTCCCCCCTGCATCTCACAATTTATTTATTTATTTATTTTTTTTCTCTCTCGTCTCTCTTTTTTGTTTTTTAATTTGACCTCGAGGTTTAAATTGCGAGTCTGTTTTTCGTCCTCTTTTAAATCACGACGGCAATGATGATTATTACGATCATCATCATCATTATTATTATTATTATTATTATTATTATTATTATTTGGATTAGTATTAAATGTGTGAATGTTTTCAAGGACTTCGTCACATTTATTATTATTATTATTATTATTAGTATTATGTTCTTCTCGATTCTTTAATTGAATTTTTTTTTTTATTTTTTTATTATTTTTTCGAGTTTTAAATGACTCGGATTATCATTATTATTATTATTATTATCATTTTCATTTTTGTTGCCGGGAAAGTTTTTCGTTAGAAAATCTATCGTCAGGATATGAATAAAAAAACGCGAAGTGTTTGTTCGTGAAACCTTTTGGTCGATGAACTCTTTTGCAAAAAAAAATAAATAAATAAATAAATTTGTCTATCGGAAATAAAAATAGAAGAAAATTAATACGTGAGTACGATCGTGCGTAATGTGCGTAATGCGTACGTAATCGTGCGTACGTTTATGCGTTTTCTTTTGTTATCATCATCGCAATACGATAAAATGAAAACATGGAGGACGATCGAAACCGCCGGGTCGAAAGTCACATTCAGAAATTTTTTTATTAATTTTACTTCGCGTTTCCCCCCGTTCCCTCCGACCCCCTCTCTCTCTCCTCCCCCTCTCCTCGGTATACGATTCCGCGTCGCACGTGCGGAATTTTAAATTCGTAAAATCCTAATAAAAAACGAGGACGCAATTGTGACGTCATTAATTATTTCTTATGGTTTTTGTTAGAGATGGATGTTGGATGGAAAGGGAAGGAGGGGGGGGGAAAAGCGTTTTAGCGAAATCGCTGTCGCCATCTTTCGAATATTCGAAAACGTTTTCCTTATAATTGTTATTGTTAAAAACCGGGGAGGGGTGGAGCGGAGAAGAAATTTTCCCGTTCGTTATTTTCCACGACTCGTAACGAAAGAAAAACACGATCAGGTGATTTTTTTTTTTTTTTTTTCCGTTGAACTCGATTTCGTATTTATTCGACCCGATCGAATTCAAATCGATCTATCGAACGATTTATTTTTAAATCGAAATTTAAATTCGAATAAACCTGATTTTTTACGATTCTATTAATAAGAATAATAATAATGATAATGATAATGATAATGATAATGATAATGTTTATAAATTTTTTAAAAACTCGTCGTCGTGATTACGTCTCGTCTCGTACGAAATCTCGCGGGGGTAGGTCAAAGGTGAGAGCGAAAAACGGGAGTTTTCGAGTTTAACGAAATACGGTAGGGAAAAGCAGAAGAAAAAAAAAAGTCGTTTTTTTTTTTTTTTTTAAGTCGTTAATTAAAACTCACGTGAGAAATAATAAATAATAGAAAATTTTCTCTTAAAATTAAATTCTTGTTTTTTTTTTTAATCAACGTCTTGGTCTCGGGATTATTATTATTATTATTATTATTATTATTATTATTATTATTATTATTATTATTATCGTTATTAATTTTTAAACGTGTCAAATATTTATCACCGCGAGTTACGCACCTACATACCTAACTACCTACCTGCCTACCTGCCTACCTAACCGCTTATACGGTTCTGTTTCCATGCCTGACTCTCTGGTCTTCTAAGTTTACTCGACCAAGTTTCGTTTCCGTCCAGTTTCATCCGGTTTTTTATTTTAGCATCTGTTATCAGCGAGCGTTTTGTGATAGGCTCGAGTTTATTGTCACAAGTTATCTCCTTTAAATCCAAGGAAATCTAAAGTCTCGTAATACAAACAAAAAACCGTTTTATCGGGCTGCGTAATTATAATGGGGAAGACTATCGAGAGGGGGTAGGGAGGTAGGAAGAGAGGGGAAAAAAGAAAATTTCCCGCCTTTTTCCTTTTCGAACGTTTAAAAAAGGGTGACCGGGTTCGAACCGGTTATGTAACTTTGTCAAGGGCCACTACCCGGGTCGTCGTAATTTTCATGAACTCTGCGAACTGGTCTGGTGTGTCTGCGTGCGTGCGTGCGTACGTGCATGCGTACTTGAGTGTGTGCGCGTGTTTACGCGGAATTTC